TGCTAATTTTTTATATATATATCAGTTGGCCAATTAATTTCTTTCTATTTATAGTAGAGACGGGGTCTCGCTCTTGCTCAGGCTGGTATTGAACTCCTGACCTTGAGCAATCCGCCCGCCTCGGCCTCCCAAGAGCTAGGATTACAGGCGTGAGCCACAGCGCCCGGCCTGTATAATACTATTAACTAAAGCTCAGTATTCATTTGAATTTCGCCAGTTTTTAAATGCATTCACTATTTTGTGTGTGTGTGATCTGCAGAGTTTATTCATTACATGTAAAGATTCATGTAAACAGCACCATGATCAGAATTCGGAACAATTCAATCATCCTAAATACACTCCCTTTAGAATATAGATCATTTCCACCACCACAAAGAAACTCCTTTGTCTCACCCCTTTACGGTCACAGCCTCATCCTTGGCAAACACTGGCCTGTTCATCATCATATATTTTGTCATTTTACGACAAAATTCTAGAGATGGAATCATAGAGCATGCAACATTTTGAGATTGCCTTTTTTCACTTAACACAATACCCTTGAGACCCATCAATTATTATGTGTATCAATAGTCTATTCCTTTTGGCCAAGCATGATGGCTCATGCCTGTAATCCCAGCCCTTTGGGAGGCCAAGGCAGGAGTATCACTTGAGGCCAGGAATTGAAGACCAGCCTGGGCAACATGGTGACAACCCATCGCTACAAAATTTTTTTTAAAAAAAACTAGACAGGTGTGGCAACACACTCCTGTAGTCCTAGCTACTAAAGAGTCTGAGGCAGGAGGATCACTTAAGCCTAGGATTTTGAGATTACAGTGAGTTGTGGTCAGGCCATTGCACTGCAGCATGGGCAACACAGTGAGGCCTTGTCTCTAAAAAAGAGATAGTTTATTATTTTTTGAATATTCCATTGAATGGTTATACAATTGCTTAGTTACTACCTTTAGTTTTTTCTAGCCTCCTGCCAAGAATATTTGAAACAGAGAGTGAACAGTTTGCATGTCATTAAGATGAGAAGCTGGTTTGGTCTCAATGTTTCAAAAATGTGTCTATGACCAGATTCACTTATTTGTATGATATTTTCAATAATTTAATGACCATAATAATTCCATGCAAAGAAAAACTGCAACATGACAAACATTAGAAGCTTAGAAAGAGAGTTTACAGGTAGTGATGGTGCATAGCTTAATTTAACAACTAGCAAGGAAATGGTTGATGATTTTGATATTACACATCTGGAAAAAGTTATTACCAATTACCTTATGAATTTTATATTTCATCAAAAGAAGATCCTAAAATTGCAATTTAGTCTTTCCATAATCCACTGTTAATGATAAGAAAAAAAGTTATAAACAGGATAAACTGTTGAAAATAACTAATGATGGGTTGAATATGTACTTTGAAAATACATTATCACTTGTCTTATTTTTAAAATAATAAAACTTTTAAATAATCATGGTTCTGATGTTATTCTAAAATCTCTTCTTGCGTTCCTGTCAACAAACCTCTGTGACTGATTTCTCTATTATTGGTATTATTGAAACAAAACACAGAAACAGTTTAAAAATATATTATCCTCTTTAAGTCATGCTGTCATCAATCCCAAATTAGATTAAACAAATTAATAAGCAAGTACCAAGCTCATTTAAGTAGTGGAACTTTAGATATGACATATACAATGTTTGTTCCAACTGTGAGTATAGACTTTTAACACAGGAAATTGTTATTTCCTTTGTAATTTTTTGTTTAGTTACAATTTTGGAAGGGCAAAAAGCTATGTGTCATGGTGATTATATTAATTGCCTATCAACATTTTCAGATTTGTAATTATTCTATTTTTTTCATGTTATGCTTGTTTAGATTATTAGAATCTTATGCCTACTGATTCTAACAAAAACGGGCTTGAATTGTTGTCTTTTTAATTTTATTTTCCTTGTAAGTCATTTTTATTGTATTTTACAAAAGTATTGGTCCACATACAATGAATTAATCCTTTATGGAAAAATAGTCTTTCTCTATAGTTAGTTTGTGAAGCACTGAGATGGTGGAGGACTGTGTCCTGGGACCAATGTTCCTGTTATTTGTCTCTGCCTGCAGAATCAGGGTATAAAGTCTTACACCTGCAGAATCCAGGCCCAGGACCACACTTCTCAGGGTCTTGCCTGAAATTAGGACTGTTGACTTATTTCTTGGGAATCCAACTCTACAGTTAGGCCAATTTCCTCTGACTTGAAACTTTCCAAAATAATGTTAACCTTCTAAAATCTTTATCAGAAAAGCTAACTAGAGAAGTATTGCATTGAATTTAAATTATAATAACAGATATGATGATAATACTATAGAGTATTAATAAGCATATGAGTGAGAGCACATGCACATACACACATTAAAATTTTCACTGCCTAAAAGAACAATCATTTGCTTCCATAATATTTTCCCATATAAGTTCACTTGGTTATTTGCATGCAAATCCTAGAAGACTGGGATGTAGGCATTTTAATAAATCGACCAGAATTTATGTGTTAATACATGACAAGTTATCTTTATAAAGGAACAAACAGAAAATAGCTAACCATGAAAAGCTCTTTATAAGATATTAAGCTATTAACAAAAAGCAGATTATAAAATGTGTCTACATTATGATTCCAACTGGGTGATTTTACAAAATCATATATGTCTCTATGTAAAACATGCTATATTTCTATCTACCTGCATTTACATTCAAAAGTTTATAGATCCGAATGAAAATACTATCATTAATTATGTCTGGGTGGTGGGATTATGAGTGCTTTTTACCTCTTTTATTATCTGTATTTTCCAATTTTGTTTGTTTAATTTAAAAGGCATTAAAATGTGGTATGATATTGCAATGATGAGTATCAGAAAGCTAGAGAAATAAACACTGACATGTTTGCGGGTATCAGAATAGGCTTCCCAACACAAATGAGAGGAAGACGTGAAAGCACAGAATATTGCAAAATTTACAAATGAGCCTATGTATTCAGCTAGGGTAAAGAGTGTCAATAATAAAGGGACTTTGGAATTACATAAATATAGGAGACAGTTTGGTTTGAAACAAGGAAGTAAAATGTATCTATAAAATCCAGACAAATATCTGAGACTGGCACAGAGCTTGGAGCAGAGAAAGGGAAAACACGGAGGTGCCCAAGGAACGGAGTAAGTCCACTGAAACACCCTGCCTATGTCTTCACTAAAATCAATGGGCGCAGAGTGGGGCTGGCTGATCTGCCTATGCAGGTTCTCTGCTGCATCCGCTAGGCTGGAGAGATGCAGCCAATTCTCGTGTCTATGTTGGGGCCAGTAGATAAGAGAAAATGAAACCACGAGAGGAATGAAACAGGAAAGAAATAAAATAGGAAAGGAACGAAAAAGTCAGTCAGTTGCTATAAGAGAGGTAAAATGGACTTCAAGAAAGGAATATCAAAGGCTAATGCTAAGAAAGGTGACACAGCAGGTTCAGCTGTATGCCATTCCATGAACATCAGTCAACAAAGAGGAGGCTTGGTTGACTTTTCGACTTTTTGAGCATTTGATGATAACATGGCTACCACAGGACTACAAAGCACGGAAATACCAAAGCACTGGGTTTTACGATACATTTTAATTAAGGTGCTTCTTTTTGGCAAAACAAAACAAAATAGATGGGGAAAAACTATTCATTTTCGCTAGATCCGCATTTTTACTTGTGGAAGGTTATATAACTGTATCCCTGTGGATTTTCTGGGTGATTCTGTGGAAATGATTCATTTTTATGTTGCATTATATACTATTATACATTCTCAAACATATTAGTTTGTTAAAAGTGAAGTTAATGTGAAAGCAAGGGAGGAGAAAAAAAAGTAGAAAAAGTAAAATGTTTGAATTTTTATTTGAAATATTTACTTGAAATTTAATCAAACAGCAAACTGGTAAGCATTTTTCTTATTGCTATGGCCTCATACTTTTGTTCTCATCAGATCTTCTATTTTTTATGTATTCCTTGTGTTTGAAATAAGTGCAGTTGCTATAATTTTTAGAAAAAAGACAACTCGTAGTAAATATCTTATCAACTATCAAGAGAAAAATCATACTAAGTCAAAAGGTAAAATCTATAAAAAGAATCTATTCATTAGTGTCTCTTGTATCATTTATAAGATTATCCTCATTTCAATTGAATAATTAATTATCCTCCCATGCATTTTAGCTGTTTACACATTAAGTCATTTTGGTATACACTAAAAGGATTGGAAGTGGCTCAGCTCTTTGATTCTTTTTATAAAACCAGGAGCGACCCAGTAAAAATACATTCTAAGACGAGCCATAGTTTTTATAGACCTAGCCATTACTAATCTGGGTTCTATTTGAAACTTATAGATCTTTGTCCAAAAACTAAATAGCAGATATGAAATGAGAAATTATTGATAAATAAATTAAATGTTTTTAGTTTTTCTTATTGAATTTCTCAAAAGACAAAAAGTGCAATGCTGAACAACAAAGAAGGTAATGAAATCATACAGATGCAGAAATATGGAAGAACTATTCAACTGTATACTTCTGAAAAGCTCAAGAAAATTCTTGCTCTGGTTAATTACTGTACCCTGAGCCTTCATCTCCTGTCTCCTTGCTCTTGGCATTGACTTTTTGAAGTTCAATCCCTTTTGTAAGTTTTTCATATGGCCGCATCCACTGCTTAAAACAAGATAGAAGACCCTGGGCTCTAATAATAAAATAATAGCTACCTTTTACCACGCTCTTGCCATGTGCTGGGCACTGTTATAACAGCTTGCCATGAATTTAGATCATTTGGTCTTTACAGTAACTACATTACTTTTTTTTTTTTTTTTTGAGACAGAGTCTCACTTTGTTGCCCAGGCTAGAGTGAGTGCCGTGGCGTCAGCCTCTGTCACAGCAACCTCAAACACCTGGGCTCAAGCAATCCTGCTGCCTCAGCCTCCCGAGTAGCTGGGACTACAGGCATGTGCCACCATGCCCGGCTGATTTTTTCTATATATATTAGTTGACCAATTAATTTCTTTCTATTTATAGTAGAGACGGGTCTCACTCTTGCTCAGGCTGGTTTCAAACTACTGACCTCGAGCAATCCGCCCGCCTCGGCCTCCCAGAGTGCTAGGATTACAGGCGTGAGCCACCGCGTCCCACTACACTAACTACTTTAAATGGCATCATCTGTCATTTTACAGTTGAGACAGGAATGAAAAAGGATGTCGTTAATAAATGTGCTCAAAGCCCCAGAGTTAGTGAAGTAGCAGATTAAGGATCAGAAAAGAGGGCTTGGCAGGGCGTGGTGGCTCCCACCTGTAATCCTAGCACTCTGGGAGGCCGAGGCGGGCGGATAGCTCGAGTTCAGGAGTTCGAAACCAGCCTGAGCAAGAGCAAGACCCCATCTCTACCATAAATAGAAAGAAATTAATTGGCCAACTGATATATATAGAAAAAAATTAGCCGGGCATGGTGGCGCATGCCTGTAGTCCCAGCTACTCGGGAGGCTGAGGCAGTAGGATCGCTTGAGCCCAGAAGTTTGAGGCTGCTGTGAGCTAGGCTGACGCCAAGGCACTCACTCTAGCCTGGACAACAAAGAGAGACTCTGCCTCAAGAAAAAAAAAAAAAAAGAGGGCTTGAGCAACATTTGGCCACAGAAACCAAATCCACAAGATGCACCACTTCATGTTCTCATATGTTATTCGAGAGTTATAGGGAGTCACACTGCAAGATTCACAGCCATGGAACTGTTTATTTTTCCTTGTTTAAAATAACCTTTTGTGGGTTAAAATCTGTTTCCATTTTGAAAAAATAATCCCTGGGTTATCAGATATTTCAGAAATGTGTTTTCTCCCTTTTCATTGAGTTTTCGGCCATTTTCAGTTGTAACTAGCATCTTTTTTTTTTTATTATTTTAGAATATTATGAGAGTACAAACATTTGGTTACATGTGATGCCTTTGCCTTGCCCAAGCCAAGGCTATGAGCATGCCCTTCCCCCATATAGTACACTCTGCAACTAATTGTGAGTTTACACACCCTCACCATCCCCTTCCCACCTGATCGACACTCAGTGAATATTACTACCATGTGAGCACCTTAGTGTTGATCGGTTAGTGCCGATTTGATGGCGAATACATGTGGTGATTGTTTTTCCATTCTTGTGATACCTCATTTCGAAGGATGGGCTCAAGCTCTATCCAGGATAATATAAGAGATGCTAGCTCACCATTGTTTTTTGTAGTTGAGTAGCATTCCATGGTATACATATACCACATTTGATTAATCCACTCATAGATTGAAGGGCCCTTGGGTTGTTTCCACATCTTTGCAATTGTGAACTGTGCTGCCATAAACACTTGAGTGCAGATGTCTTTATTATAGAATGTCTTTTTTTCCTTTGGGTAGATGCCTAGAAGTTGGATTGCTGGCTTAAATAGCATTTCTATTTTTAGCTCTTTGAGATATCTCCAAATTACTTTCCAAGGGGGTTATACTAATTTGCAGTCCCACCAGCAGTGTAAGAGTGTTCCAATCTCTCCACATCCATGCCAGCATTTGTTGTTTTGGACCTTTTAATAAAGGCCATTTTCACTGGAGTTTGGTGATATCTCATTGTGGTTTTGATTTGCATTACCCCAGTGATTTAAGGTAAGGGTTATGAGCATAGATTCAGGATTCAATTCTTTCATTGTGAAATAGGGATAACATTAGTATAAAACCTACTTCACTGGGTTCTGTAAAGAGCAAGAGAGAAAATGTGTCCCACAAACTTAACACAGCAATGATAGAGCCAACCTGGGTAGCCGTCACAGGAACTATTCTAAGCACTTTGCTTAGAATGATGCTCAAAGGAATCCTATAAGGAAGGTACTCTGATTTGCCTCATTTTATAAACAGAAAACAAAGGCAAAGATAGGTTAACAAACTTGCCAAAGACATATAGCTGGTGTCAGAATCAGGAATCTAACCCTAAGTTCACACTCCTACACATGACAATATACAGCCCCCACTGTGCCTACAGTAAGTGTGTAATAAATATTAGCTCTCTAGACAGCTCCCTCCAAGTTTGCCAGGGAGAGGCCTTACTAAGTTAATTACTGAATCACTGAGAAGTCATCAACTTTATTTGTAACACCCTCTCCACGGCATCAGAAGACAGCAGTTTTGTAGTTGGGTAGTGGTAGGAGCAGAGACAATGCCGTGTCACCAAGGCTGGCCTGGAAGACAAGCTGCAAGCGTTCACAGTGAAGCTGTGTAGTTGAAGTCAGAAACTCTGAACCAACAGTAAAAAGTCCTATTTTCAAGTCCTAGCTGTGCCACACATTTTCTATATACCCTTGAGCACGTCATTTAACTCGTCTCAGCTTCAATTTCACATCTGTAAACCCAGGGGAATGAGACAGGATAATTTGGAAAGGTTCTTTCCTACTGTGAAATTTCAGGACTCTATGAGTACAGGATCTGAATAAGTGTCCCTGTTAAAACACCAGTGTGCAATGTTCCGGCAGGTTATTCATATTATTCATACTTCATGCCAAGGATGAGGGCATTCATCACTCCTACTTTCTTGATATTCAAGAAAATGATCTAGGGATAAGGTCTCAACAAAAGGAATCTAAGGATACCAAAGACTAATGTTTTTAAGTGTCATAAGTTTTTTCAAAGATTAATAGTGATTCTTGTCCATAACTAGTTATGCTGGTTTACTTCCAACAAAATTTCCCTAGGCCACATGGAGTCCGAGATGCTCTACACTTCCAGAAGGACAGAAATGAGTGAGAAATCTCAAGAGTAATTTTCTTAAAAAATAACAAGAGAATTAACTTAAGTGGCCATATATGAACTGTGTACTTTTCCAATTACTAAATTATTACTTTTCCTCTTGGACTGCTCTCCTTGCCATCCAACTGTATAATTGACTCCTGTATTAGTTTTCTATTTGTTGCTGTAACAAATCACCACAAACTTAGTGACTTACAACAACATATTTTTTCATCTGACAGTTCTATAGGTCAGAAATCCAACACCACCTTTACACAACTAAGACCAAGTGTCAGCAGAGAGCTAAGTTCCTTTCTGGAGGCTCTAAGGAAGGATCTGTGTCCTTTTTTTATCCAGCTTCTAGCAGCCTCACATATTCTTTTGTTCATGGATGCCTTCCTCTGTCTTCCAAGCCACCAGCATAGCGTCTCTCCAGCCCTACTTCCATCTTAGCTTCTCTTTCTCTGATTTTCTTCTATCTCTCTCTTCTACTTTTATGGACCCTTGTGATTACATTGGGCCCACCCATAATCCAAGACAATCTCCCTATTTTAAGATCAGCAGCTAATAAGCAAGCTTAATTGCACCTGCCACCTTAATTCCCCTTTGCCATGTATCCTAACATATTCACAGCTTCCTGGATTAGAATGTAGACATTTTTGGCGGGGTGGGGGTGGGTTATTATTCTGCCTACCACAGTCCTTTCTTCCTGTTGTCCTCTAGGTACTACGAATTCAGGGAGGACATACACACACGCATATATGTACATACTTTGTAAACCAAATGAAAATAGGGAAATAAATATATTCCCATCTTCCCCTCCTTCACTTCCTCCACATCACAGGATATATAGGATTCTCATTCCAAAGTCAAATGAGAATCATGTTTATATCAGTTGTCATTGCTCATTATCTGCTCACTTGCTCTCTTCCTTCTGCATAGATAATTGACATTTAACAAGAGTTTCTTTGGTTTCTTTTCTGGGTGAATACATCACTTTGATATGTTTTGTAATACTTAGGACACAATGATGTCATCCCAGCCAACAAGCCACCATGGATTTCGTGAAACCATACCCAACCCTTACACAGCAAGCAGCTTTGTGGCTCCTAGGTTTCAACAGCCTCAGCCTCTGGGTTCAATAAACCAAGGAAACCAAGCTCAGGGGGACCAACCTCCCTTCACCATATCTTCAGGCACCTTTGCTGGCAGTCAGCTGGGTCAAGGAAATACACAAATGACAAATCCATCTATGGAAAGAGTGGCAACAAACTTTAGAGAAGAAGCAAAGACACTAGCGGTAAGTCTGTTTACTATCAGAATTTTAATTATACATTTGAAAGATTTTCTTGTACCTATAAACTATTGGTGGAAAGAATGCTAACCAATTATTAAAAAGCCTGAACGTTATTCAGGAAACCGTATCTCGTTTAGGTAGAAACAGTCCACATATAGATCAAGTTCATTTTATTTTAGATTCAAGTAAGAATCTAACAGGTGACGGGGGCCTTTACTGTCAGCATGAAGATTTGGTAATTTTGACATGATAAGAGCACCACTACTTCTAGCTTGATTTCACTTCTGGCAAAGGACTTTTTATACAACCTCAATGCTGTCTCTGGATTGGCTACAAGCCCAGCATTTGTATACAGGTGAATTCATATTAAAATAAATACTGATGGCTGCCTTAAAAGGGAAGAAACTACAAATGGGCAGTCTGGGGAAGGCTGAGTGTGAAAGAATTAGGGGGCATTCTCTCTGCTGTGCACCACTAGTACCCTTGGAGATACTATCACTTAACTGTCACCTTGCTTCTACAAAGGGTACTTTGAACACCTTGTTTCTGTAGGCATTGTAAAAATGCACCCTACTTGTAGGTGAAGATTCCACCTGCTTAGGAGGAACCGTTAGTCCCTTTGCTGTGCTTTGCAGATACCTCATTCATACCACTAATGTAATTCCACCAAATTGTGTTAAATCTCTCGGTTACGTGCAGCTCCAACTTCTCTGTTAGATCACTCCGTAGATTATATTCAGTGCCTATTATGTCCCAGAAACTCTTCTGGCCGACTTACTACCTATTTCAAGGTTGATGTTTTAGGAAAGTAAAAATGAGCATCAGTTCCCCTCCAGCAGCCCATCTAAGCCGTGGAGGCAGCTCTCTGGATTCCTGGCCACCGTCAGAAGACACTGCCTGCTCCAGTTGAGCAAATGGGACAAACCAGCGCACACAGCTGACCCCACACAGACCACAGGTGTTGGAAACATTAAAGAGCGCTACACAGGAACAATCTTTGTCCTCACAGAACTTAAAACCTAGTGGGGGAAATCAGACTGGACACACAATGCAGAAGTGAAGTACACAGTGTGTTAGATGGTGTTAAACGATACAGGGAGAATAAAGAAGTGGAAAAAGGATATGAAGTACCAGGAAGTGAGGGAGTAGCAAGTTCAAGTCGGTTGACGTGGGCTCAAAGGCATGAAGTTAGGAGTGAGTCATGCAGCTATCAAGGCAAAAGGGAACAACCGGTATAAAGGTCTTTAGATGAAAATGTGTGTGACGTGTTTGAAGAACAGGGAGGAGGCCAATAAAGTAGAATGGAATGAGCAAGGGAGGGGGCAGGTGGCCGGAGGGCAGAGGAGGGTGGCAGGGGCAGATTTGGGGAGGCCTGGCGAGCCCGAGACTTTGCTTTTACTGAGTGGAAGGAGGAGCCACTGGCGCATGCTGCCTGGTGCAGAAGAGGTGTGTAATAAAAATATTTTCAAAGGATAAGTGAGGTTTTGTTTTTTAAAAGCTCCAGTTGGCAGAAGCTACTTCCTCTCTCTGAAGATTGTACATCCATGCCATTAGCAGCCCCCAGTCACCACAACAGTGCAGGGGCCACAGGTGGCAGGATGTGGGGCATCTGCACCAGTCAACTCAGGACTTACAGTGGTTGTGTGGCCAAAAATGCAGGCAAATTATGTGTCCAAATTTTTCACTCTGTCCTATAGGCAATTTTGATCAATAAATGGCCCTACTGCCAGGGCTGTAGGAGGAGACAAGAAGGCTGGTATGAATCCAAGATCTAACTGCCCCTCATCAAGATGACAGCAAGGATGAGGAAGGAAAGTCCGCAACCAGATGACTGAATTGCTGCTCTGGAGAAGAGCTTGTAAAAAATCACATAGAAAGACTAATGCAGTTCTTCAAGTGAGACTGGCTATGAGAGGCCCACCACCACTCTGAAGCTATATGCAACATGCACATGAATGTACAAGAATAATTTTTTAGGGAGAAAAGTTCATAACTTTTATCAGAATCTCAAAGCACTTCATTATTCAAAAAAATTAATCTCAGTATTATTTATGAAACTGGTTTTTAAAATTTTAATTCAATTTTAATTCAATTCTAATTTTAATTCAATTTAATTGTACTCAGTAGATATTTATTGAAAAAATTAACACAGCAATCTTTGTATTTGCAGTCTTCCTGGATAGATAAAACATAAGTGTCGGGAAAAAAATGAAGTATAAATCTGCAATCAACTTTTACAGCAATCTGGCAGCTGTATTTATTAGAAATCTATGCTTATCTAGGATTAGGGAAGGTGCCATAAGAGGTACAAGGAAGTAAAAGATATCTATTCCTTATCTTTGGTTATGTGTCTCTTGACTGGTAAGAAAATGATTTCATACCTGCAGTTTTAAAGAAAATGAACAATATAAATGAGTATAAAACCAAGTATGAAGGTGTATTATATATCATGAGATGCAACAGAAATTTAGAATGAAAAAAGACAGGGCACCACAAAAAAACAATGGTGACCTAGCTCCTCTTGTATTATCCTGTATAGAGCTGGAGCCCATTCTACTAAATGAAATATCACAAGAATAGAAAAACAAACACCACATGTACTCACTAGCAAATTGCTATTAACTGATCAACACTTAAGTTCACATATAGTAATAATATGTATCGGGTGTCAGGCAGGTGGGAGGGAGAGGAGGGGATGGGTATATTCACACCTAATGGGTGCGGTGTGCACCGTCTAGGGGATGGACACGCTTGAAGGTCTGACTCAGGTGGGGCAAAGGCAATTTATGTAACCTAAATATTGGTATACCTGTAATTGCTGACATAAAAAAAAAAAAAAAGATAGGGCGGATTTGACGGGTGTAATCGGGAAGACTTCACGGAAGAGGCGGAGCTGAGCCTGAGAGAAGGCAGCACTGAAGAGCTCTGTACTCCCCAGGCAGGTGGTGAGCTCTGGCGTCCATTTGCTACAGTAACTTCCCAGATCTTCCCCTTAGTATTTGGGACGTTGGACACCTAATTTCTTTATGTCTCTGTGTCTCCATCCAGTTTGGGAGAGAATTACATGAAACAATAAATGTATTTGGAACATCATCAAGCACATAATTAATTCCCAGTAGATGATTTTGTCTTCACTGATCCCTTTGCCCATAACTGGTATTAACCAAGCAGAGAATTGATTCATTTGAACAAGACAGCCACTAAAGTCACAGAGTGTTTTCTTCTTTCTAACAGTCTTTTAGAAGCTCTCAGGAAATTCTAACGCATGCCTAGGCAGTTGCGGTTTCAGAAGAGCTCTCCTTGGGCCACCCCAGCTAGTCTCCCCAAACATCTCAAACTAGACCTTATGCTGAGGTCCTAGCGCCCAACGCCCCCCCGCCTCTGTTATTCTAGCGGTGCATGTTGAAATCCTCGCGGCCCACCTCCTGCTTCTAACGCACGCCCAAATGACACCCGTGGATCTTGGGAAAGTTGACAATAAATAAACAGGAGCAGCAATGATAGTAACGTTTCATAGGCCTGGAAGTGAAGAAGTCATTTTAAAAGGGCTGTTTTCTTTTTTTCAGGCAATCCAGATCGTGATTGGATTGATGCAGATTGGTTTCGGAATTATTTTGGGTTTACTACGGTTCTCATATGGACAAAATTTGGGTTTTATCTCTATTACTTTCATTGGTGGATATCCATTCTGGGGTGGCCTCTGTGTGAGTAGTTTGCTAGAACACCTCTCCTTCTCAGATCACAAAGCATAGGTATCTCCAGCATCGTCACAACTCATTTCTTTTTTTTTTTTTTTTTTTTTTCTATATCCAAAACATACACTAGGTCCTTTCAGAAACAAAATTTTTTTTTTATTTTGGCATATTATGGGGGTACAAATTTTAAGGTTTCAATAAATGCCCTTTCCCCCCCGCCCCCCACAAGTCTGAGTTTCCAGCTCATTTCGTGATAAGCCCTACATCCGAGGGCTGGAGAATTTAGAGAAATAACAGCTCCGACTGGGTATAAAATAGGAGAAACATACTCCCCATTTTAACTAGGAGTTTAAGCCTATACCCTAAAGTTTACTCTGATCAAGTAATCGGCAAGCCAAAATGTTAGTTCCCTGTTACATTTGAGATGGAAATGTATGTGCTGCGTGGAGAGTAGCAAGGGAGGTAACTGGAAACGTGATTGAAAATATGCAATTGATAACAAGAAGAGATTAAGCAGTAGGCTCAGGAAGCATCAGAACAAGGAAAGCTTACACGAGGAGTTCTTTATAAGGAGAAAAAATTAAAAAAAAAAAAAAAAGTCAAGGACATATCCCTGTTACTCCAGAAAACTGAGAAGCAAAAGAGGAAATTGTAAGAGGGAAACTAGATGAATATAAACAGACCAAATTTTCAGATAAAGAAAAGTTCCTGGGTATAACCAGCGAACTCATTGTTTCACAAATTTGTCTTATTCTACAGTTCATTATTTCTGGCTCTCTGTCTATATCGGCAACCAAGGAGACTTCCTCTTGTCTGGTAAGTTAAAATGTTTCTACTTTTTAAACCTCTTCAAAGATTAGTTTAATTTATTGGGGAGGAAAAATGAGCAGGCAGATTTAGAAAATGGGAATGGGAGCACATTTCCCAAAACACGTGTTGGCTGCCCTCATGGTCTGTGTGTTGGATTGCGGGAACGGTCCACGCAATTTACGACTCAGAAACAGCAGTGGTCACGTCCTACCACTTGAACTCACAAGGGTGGGAAGCAGTAAAGATAAGGCTCGTTTAAGCTTTAACCTAAAAATCTCCCTGGTTCATTCAGATCACATACGGGGAAGTGCAAAGAAGAAGGCAGGAGCCAGGACATACCTACTTGCCACTTCAGTAACAAAATCTTTCCTGTTCCTTTGCCATTTCTCAGCTCTGCCTTGTATTTTTATTTTTCATTTGTGCATGTCTCCTGTTCTTATTCAGGTTGGGTTTTTGTTTTACAATTCTCCCATCCAAGTAATAACCAGGCCCAACCCTTCTTAGCTTCTGAGATCAGACGAGATCGGGTATATTCAGGGTTGTTATGGCCACAGACTGTTTTACAATTCTCTAAATCACCATTAAAAGCATCTAGTTTGTTCCAGAAGAAGAGTTTATAAAAACAGTCACCGAGACAAGGCTTTCAATTCTCTCAGTCATAGCACCCCACCTATTCCAATTTTCTGGTCTACACCACAAGGAAGAAAATGATTTGCCCGGAACTAGAGCCAACCAGAGCAGAGGTGTTCTGAAGGTTATATGTACTCCAACAGAAGAGGAAAGAATGGGGAAACGTGAACACAAAATTGTGTGGCTCATGTTCTTCTAGACAAAGCAAAAACAAAATAATTAAATTAAATTAAAATAGCATAAAATCAGCCTAATCCTGATTAACCAAATCCTGTTGTAATCCAGTAACAATACATAAAACACCCTTCTTCTGCATCCTTCATGGGTCCTTCCCTCTAACCAAGATTGTCCAAACATAGACTGTCCTTTTGGAGAAGACAAGCACTGAAACTTACTTAAGGCAATTTTTCTAAGATCTATTTAGAGGGCTTCAGGAGACCCTAAGGCATGCTGACTCAGTAGCACATCCTAAAGAACTTTAACTGTGCCGCCCATAGCAAGTCAGCTTAGGAGTTGGTTTCACAATTATTCTGCTGTATAAGAAACTGAGGTACTCACCCACACCTCTACCCACAAATGCCTAAAGAGTTTCTCCTTCTAAGTTTGGGGTTCTTTACCTAGTCCTTTGAGAGACTTTAGGGTGTTCATTAATTCCTAAATTTATCAGCAAAACTGTTATGTCTATATATTTTCCTATCTATAAAATCAGATGCCATCATACTACCTCATACAATGGCCGTAAGAGTTAAACGAAATAATGTATTTAAATAATTTAACACCGCACCTATTACAGAAAAATGCTCATGAAAAGTATATTTGTTCTTTTGCTGTTTTTATAAATAAACGTAGTTGTTATTGTGTATGAGGCTTTTAAACAAATGGAATAAATGAACTCCTGCTTTACATTTTTGTACAGCTTTTTAGAAGTACCCTACACCTAGACTGCACACAGAGTAATGTTTATGGTAACTACCCAGAAGGGCAGAAAACAACATCATTTCAACTCAAAAAATTGTTTCAAGATTTCCAAGGTTAAGAACCATGACATCTGATTGATACTTATTCCATTTAATGTCAAGGATCCTGTATTATTATCCTAATTTATTTTTCTTGTCATTTCCACTAGATAAAAAGCAGCCTGGGAACGAATATTATTAGTTGTATCTTTGCCATTAATGGAGTGATTCTGTTGCTGATGGATATAAGCAGCAATGTCATAGATGGCCAAAGCTATTGGACAGTGGTAAGCGTCCACGGTCTACCACATGCCTGCTCTCTTTCCACTCCCATAGAGTGGGTCTATCTTTTTTGTCTTTTATTACTGTACACCAGCTCTAGTGGAAAATCTTTTGCTATTCCAGCTCTACCGCTAGTCACATAGTCTCTAGGACTATTGAGCAAAGTGGGAGAGTCACCTCTACAGATAGACTAGGCAGAAACGGCATCCCTCATTGGTCCACCTCACTAGTCATCATGTAAACAACGAGGAAGGGTTTAGATAGGCGTCCAAGACTCCTAAAATTGCCCAGAAAAATATTTTCCAAAGATTTTTGAAATTATGTATTAAGGATATAGTCAAGTTATTGAGTGGCTTTTTATTTTAGGTAAGAATGAGATGAGAGGAAAATGGCAGTGACAAGGACATCCAGTGTTTACTAGAGAGGCCCAAAGAATGAAGCAAACACAAAGCGAAGCACATGCCTCTGAATGTGCTCATACAACAGAATCGTCTATTCGTTATCATTACACAGGCCAAGCAGGACTCTGACCTTAAGAGGAAGTGGGTGGTCTGAGGGCCGGAATTCTTACTACCTATAAAGAATGGAGGAACATGCTATAACATGAGGTTGGAATGGAGGGTTCATCCTGCCCCGTGGCCATGTTAGGGATTTTTTGTCTTTATTCTGAGCAATAGAAAGCCACCGAAGAGGGTTTTTTTTTTTATTTGTTTGCTTTTGTTTTTTGGGGGGATTTGGTTTGTTGAGGGTTTTTTTTTTAAGTTTAAAAAAGCAGAGCTTATTAAATTGCTGTGGGCTACATATAACTTAAGAAAGAACTAGAATGACTCCCTTTTATGTCTAGAAAGGAGAATATTAAGACAGTATCAACACTATTTTGAACAAATAAGCAGAATAACCTTTCCCTTTTTAGTTCATTCAGTGCTATGTAAGTAATTCCATTCCACTGGATCTCAAAGTAGCCATCTTATAAAGCCACTTGCTTCTCAACTAAAAGGTCCTGGAATCCTGATTTCAATCACTGGTAGGATCTTAACTAGGGTCTGTTCTTTGAGGTGTCAGTAGTTTGAAGTAGCTGGCAGTCTCATTTTCCACTAGGCTCTGAGATTGTTCGTTTTGTTTTATTTTGTTTTGTTTTTAAGTCTTTTTTTTTTTTTGAGACAGAGTCTCACTTTCTTGCCTGGGCTAGAGCGCCGTGACATCAGCCTAGCTCACAGCAACCTCAAACTCCTGGGCTCAAGCAATCCTCCTGCCTCAGCCTCCCAGGTAGCTGGGACTACATGCAGGCACCACTGTGCCTGGCTAATTTTTTTCTATTTTTAGTTGTTTCGCTAATTTCTTTCTATTTATAGTAGAGACAGGGTCTTGCTCTTGCTCAGGCTGGTCTTAAGCTCCGGAGCTCTAGCAATCCTCCCGCCTCGGCCTCCCAGAGCGCTAGGATTACAGGCGTGAGCCACCGCGCCCAGCCTAAGATTGTTCTTTGTTAAAGACACACACAAGTTTTAAGCATGAAACAGGAATGATCACATTTGGGTTTTGAAGGGACCATTCTTTTGGCAGTATGAAGCTGATTAGGAGGCAAGAATAGGTAAGAGGGCCTCTTGTTGACTAAGGCAGAGTGAAGCAAGAACACAGAATCCATCCTTTAAGACGGTGAACAAAAGAACAAAAATTATTCAAAAAACAGATTTTATACTGGCATCCAAGTAGAGAAACAAATCTCTCCAATGTGACTCAAGGTGGCAGAAGGAACCAGCTCGTAGCCCTGGCTCTCATTTCCCCAGAAACAAGACTGAGGAAACGGGGATGCCAAAACATACGGGGAAGTATCGCTAACACTCTCCAATGTGGAGCTAAGAAGACTGAGGGGGAGAGCAGTCAATTCAGAGAAAGGAGGAAGCAAATCCTCCGTGGAGGAAGCCTGTGTGTCACACCCACAACCTCAAGAGAAGTAGGAAAGGGCACCCCCTTCCAGTGCACGTTGCTGACATCGGGGAATGAGCAGAAATCCACAGGAACAGAATCTGCCTCCAGTCATGGAGCAGGCCTTGGTATCAGGCATTTGCAGATCCTCAGAAGAGAAAGCAAAGTTCATGTTCACCAGCAAGAACTGTGCTTAATGCTTGCTGAGCTCTCTCTCCCCCGGCGACAGCCGCATGATTAACATTCAGAAAAGTGGACGTGAAAGAATATTTAGCACTAAAGTTGCAGAAGGAAACAAGGAAGACAAATTGGACCCAGCGGAAGTGTGAACCCAGCAAAATTCACCTGCACTGTATTCATTCAAATAGAAGGCATGTACAGGATTCAAGTAAACTTAATACTTTTGTTTTAAAATAGGAATAACATGGTTCCATTGTTGCAGAATGTTTCTCTCTTGCTGTCTTTTCTTGTCCTCTCTTGTGCTATCTTTCCACGCATCTGCCTTTTTGCCTATCCAGAGAGATTAGTATAACGATCATCAAATATTAACTTTGGCATTTGGAATGATTAGTTGGTTTCTATATTGAGTGATTTTTTTTTCAATGAGTGGGTAACATTTTAATGAAGACAAAGAGGCCGCTACAGAGGAAAAAAATCTACCACCTTTCCAATGTTTTTAAGTGAAATAGTCTGCTTGCCAAAAGGAATGTCTCCTGGTATTTTTAAAAAATCTAAAATAAATTCCCATTCCCTTGTGATAAGCATTTGATGATAATGGAGGAGTAATCATGGAACAAGTTGAATATGAACAATAGCACATTTGATGAGTCAATAACTTTTTGAAAACCGTGTGAGGCCCTCCTGATTAGCCCAAAATCCACTGTGTTTATTTCTGGTTTCAGGTTTCTGGAAAAGGCATTTCAGCCATGTTGATGATCTTCTCTGTCCTGGAGTTGTGCATAGCTTGTGCCACCGCCCATTTTGCCCAGAAAATAATCTCCAACACCAGTAGGGTGAGTTAGGTCTCTTCTCTGTAAAATAATCTGAATACGTGCTTGAAAATACAGACTGTGTCTGCTATATCCCCACTATAGGCTTACCAGAGTGGTCTATGTCCTTGACTTTGATGGGACCAAGGGAACCTCATTAGGGTTGTAGTAACAATATTTCTTGTTTTTATTCACTCTTTCTAGGCCGTCCTGGTTATTCCAGCTCCCACTGTGTATGCAAACAACCCCTTGCCACCAGAGTATTCCTCCGTTCCTCCCAGAAACGATGCTTACCCAGCTTATCCGCCTAGCTATTAAAAGTAAAAGGGTCACCAGTCTGATCTCATGGGTAAAAATCACTCTTCAGAAACTTAAGAAGATAGTTTTTTGTTGTCCTTGATGAGATCCATTCTTAGGTTTGTCCCTAATGATAACTCTGTCTCCCTTTCACTGGCAAAAGTAAAGAACCACAGGACTGAAAAATGACTCTGCAACTCTCTTAAAGTTAGAAATTTTCCTGTTCGTGTTACCTTTTCCTCAGTAAAATGTCATTAGGAACATAAGGTGTTTCTAGTATTTTTTTTATTTTAGCATAATATGGGGGTACAAGTGTTAAGGTTATGTATTTTGTCCATGCCCCCCCCTCGAGTCAGTGCTTCAAGCGTGACCATCCCTAAGTGTTGCACATCTTACACATTGTGTTTTTATATACCTATCCCCCTCTCTCCCCCCTCCCACCTGCCCAACACCCAATAAATGTTATTCCTATATGTCCACTGAGGTGTTGATCAGTTAATACCAATTTGCTGATGAGTATATGTGGTGCTTGTTTTTCCATTCTTGAGATACTTCACTTAGTAGAATGGGTTCCAGCTGTATCCAGGAATATACAAGAGGTGCTATATCACCATTGTTTCTTAAAGCTGAGTAATATTCGATGGTATACATATACCACATTTTATTAATCCACTCATGAATTGATGGGCACTTGGGTTGTTTCCATAGCTTTGCAATTGTCAATTGTGCTGCTATAAACATTCGAGTGCAGGTGTCTTTTTCATAAAGTCTTTTTTGATCTTTTGGGTAGATGCCCAGTAGTGGAATTGCTGGATCAAATGGTAGATCTACTCATATTGCTTTGAGGTATCTCCATATTGCATTCCACAGAGGTTGAACTAGTTTGCAGTCCTACCAGCAGTGTAGGAGTGTTCCTCTCTCTCCGCATCCATGCCAGCATTTATTGTTTGGGGACTTTTTGATAAAGGCCATTCTCACTGGAGTTAAGTGATATCTCATTGTGGTTTTGATTTGCATATCCCTGATGATTAGAGATGTTGAACATTTTTTCATATCTTTGTTGGCCATTATTCTGTCTTCTTTTGAGAAGTTTTTGTTCATGTCCTTTGCCCATTTTTTGATAGGGTTGTTTGATTTTTTTCTTGCTGATTTTCCTGAGTTCTAAATTGATTCTAGTTATTAGCCCTTTATCAGATGTGTAGCTTGCAAAAATTTTCTCCCATTCTGTGGGTTGTCTGTTTGCTCTCTTGACAGTTTCTTTGGCTGTGCAGAAGCTTTTAAATTTCATTAGGTCCCATTTGTTTATTTTTGTTGGTGTTGTGATTGCCTTTGGGGTCTTCATAAATTCTTTGCCTAGGCCAATGTCTAGAAGAGTATTTCCAACATTTTCCTCTAGCATTCTAATAGTTTCACATTTAAGGTTCAAGTCTGTTACCCAGCGTGAGTTAATTTTTGTGAGAGGTGAAAGGTGTGGGTCTTGTTTCAGTCTTCTACATGTGGCTATCCAGTTTTCCCAGCACCATTTATTGAATAAGGATTCTTTTCCCCAGTATATGTTTTTGTCTGCTTTGTTGAAGATTAGCTGGCTATATGAGGATGGTTTTATATCTGGGTTCTCTGTTCTGATCCACTGGTCAATGTCCCTGTTATTGTGCCAATAAAAAGCTGTTTTAATGACTATAGCCTTGTAGTATAGTTTGAAGTCTGGTAAATTGATACCTCCTATTTTGTTTTTATTGCCTAGGATTGATTTTGCTATACAGGGTCTTCTCTGGTTCCATATGAAGCGTAAAATTATTTTTTCTATATCTGTGAAAAATGATGATGGTATTTTGATAGGGATTGTGTTGACTCTGTAGGTCACTTTGGGTAGTATAGACATTTTAACAATGTTGATTCTGCCAACCAATGAGCATGGTATATTCTTCCATCTGTTTACGTCCTCTGCTATTTCCTTCTTCAGTGTTTCATAGTTATCCCTGTAGAGGTCTTTTACCTCCTTAGTTAAATATATTCCAAGGTACTTTATTTTCTTTGTTGCTATTTTGAAGGGAATTGAGTCTTTGAGTTGGTTCTCACTTTGACTGTTGTTGGCGTATATGAATGCCTCTGATTTCTGTGTATTGATTTTTGTATCCTGAGGCTTTACCAAATTCATTTATCAGATCAAGGAGTCTCTTGGTTGAATCCTTGGGGTTTTCTAGGTATAATATCATGTCATCAGCGAAGAGTGAGAATGTGATCTCTTCTGCTCCCATTTGGACACCCTTAATTCCGCTCTCTTGTCTGACTGCTGTAGGGAGGACTTCTAGCACTGTGTTGAATAGAAGTGGAGATAGTGGGCAGCCTTGTCTTGTTCTGGTTTTAAGTGGGAATGCTTTCAATTTTCCCCCATTCAGTATGATATTGGCTGTGGGTTTGTCATATATGGCTTGTATCACTTTTAGGTAAGCCCCATCTATTCCTTTTTTGTTGAGCATTCGTATCATAAAAGGGTGTTGAATTTTGTCACATGGTTTTTCTGCATCTGTTGAGAGTATCATATGGTCTTTGATTTTGCTTCTGTTTACATGGTGAATTACGTATATAGATTTGCATATGTTAAACCATCCCTGCATCCCTGGGATGAAGCCCACATGGTTGTGATGGATTATTTTCTTGACAAGCACCTGGATTCGATTGGCTAGAGTTTTGTATAGAATTTTTGCATCTATGTTCATAATGGATATTGGTCTGTGGTTTTTTTTTTTTATTGTTGCATCCTTTTCTGGTTTTGGTATCATGGTTATGTTCGTTTCATAAAATGTGTTGGGGAGATTTCCATCCTTCTTGATGTTGTGGAATAATTTCTGCAGGATAGGCACCAGTTCTTCTTTGTAGGTGCGGCAAAATTTGGGTGTGAAACCATCTGGTCCAGGACTTTTATTTTTAGGAAGGTTTTTTATTGCTGTTTCAATTTCAGTACTTGATAGTGGTCTGTTCAGGAATTCTATTTCTTCCTGGTTGAGCCTGGGGAGGCTGTGTGTTTCTAAGAAATTGTCCATTTCCTCCACATTTTCCAGTTTGTGTGCATAGAGGTTTTTTTAGTATTCATGAATTATATCTTGTATCTCTGTGGCATCCGTTGTAATTTCTCCTTTATTGTTCCTGATGAGCTCATTAGAAATTTTTCTTTTCTGCTTTTCATTAGTGTAGCCAAAGGTGTGTCAATTTTGTTTATGTTTTCAAAGAAACAATTTTTGTTTTATTAATCTTTCATATGGGTTCCCTGTTGTCGATTTCGTTTAGTTCTGATTTGATCTTAATGATTTCACTTCTTCTACTGGGTTTGGGGTTGGTCTGTTCTTCTTTTTCCAGCTCTTTGAGTTGATTCATTATGTTGTCTATTTGTGATCTTTTTGACTTTTGGATATAGGCATTATGGAAATAAATTCTCAGGACTGCTTTAGCTGTGTTTCACAGGTTTTGATAACTTGTGTCTCCTTTGTTATTTAGTTCAAAGAATCTTTTGCTTTCCATCTTGATTTCCTCATTTATGAAGTGATCATTCAGCAGAAGATTGTTTAGTTTCCATGACTTTGTGTAGAAATGAGAGTTCTTGTTAGGGTTGATTTATACTTTTATTCCATTGTGATCTGAAAAGATACATGGTATAATTTCTATTTTTTTAATTGTTTGAGACATGCTTTGTGTCCTAGGATATGGTCAATCTTAGAGAATGACCCATGAGCTTATGAGAAGAATGCATATTCAGTGGTTCTGGGGTAGAATTTCCTGTAAATGTCAGTCAGGCCCATTTGTTCTAGAGTTCTGTTTAAGTCCATTATTTCTTTGTTGATTTATGTTTGGAGGATCTGTCCTATGCTGTCAGTGGGGTGTTAAAGTCTCTGACTATTATGGTGTTGCTGTTTATCCATTTGTTTGGATCAAGTAGAGTTTGCTTTATGAATCTGGGTGCACCTAGGTTGGGTGCATATATATTTAGAATTGTTATGTCTTCTTGTTGAACTGTTCCCTTCACTATTATATAGTGACCTTCTTTGTCTTTTATTACTTTTTTTTATTTAAAAACTAAGTTATCTGTAACCAGCACTGCCACGCCAGCTTTCTTTTGGCTTCCATTTGCTTGAAATATTGTTCTCCACCCCTTTACCTTTAGTCTAACTGCATCTTTGCAAGTTAGATGTGTTTCCTTAAGGCAGCAGATACTTGGCTTGTATTTTTTTTTATCCATTTGACCAGCCTATGTCTCTTGAGTGGGGAGTTCAAGCCATTCACATTTATTGAGATAACTGATAGGTAGGGAAGATTTCTGTTCATTATGTTGGGTTTAACTTTGTTACTTTGTATTCTCTCTTGAGCCATTGTGGTTTCTGGGCTTTGATATTTACCTTTTGAGTAGATTTACATTCATGAGTGTTTATTGTGCTGATCTGTGGGTAACACTGTTTTGAGTACTTCTTGAAGGGCTGGTCTTGGTGAATTCTCTCAGTCTTTGCTTATCTGAGAATGTCTTGGGTTTTCCTTCATATACAAAACCTAGTTTTGCAGGGAATAAGATTCTAGGCTGGGCATTGTTCTGTTTCAGAAGAGTGAGAATGGGGCCCCAGTCTCTCCTTGCTTATAAAGTTTCAGTAGAGAAGTCTGGCATTATTCGGATTGGCTTCCCTTTGTATATTACTTGCTTCTTTCATCTTACAGCTCATTGAAGGGCCTCTTTAGTTGATATTTTGGTCAGTCTGATGACTGCATGTCGTGATGTCTTCCTGTTTGCATTGAATCTCCCAGGGGTCCTTTGAGATTCTTGAACTTGTATATCAAGATTTTTACCAAGGCCTGGGAAATTTTCCTCTATTATATTTTCAAATATCTTTTCCAACCCTTGAGTGCTTTCTTCTTCCCCTTCAGGTAACTCTATAACCCTCATATTAGGTTTCTTCACATAATCCCACATCTCTTGTAGGGTTTGCTCTTTTCTCGTTTCTCTGCTTTATCTCTGTGACTGATTTAATTGGAAGGTGTTATCTTCAATCTCTGAGATTCTTTCTTCTGTTTGATCTACCCTGTTCTTGAGGCTTTCCACTGTGTTTTGTAGTTCCCTGAATTGATTCTTCATTTCCAGGAGTTCGGTTAGGTTTTTCTCCATTGTTTCAATTTCTTCAGTGAATTTTTGTTCCAGGCCCTAGAACCTTTTTGCATTTTCTTTGTGTTGGTTATCCAGTTTTTCTTGCAAGTCATTGAATTTTCTTACGATCCATGCT